CTGCCTGCCGGCTCCGGGGAGGAGGTGGCGGCGGCAGCGAGGCCCGTCTTCCCGCCCGCCTGCCTCCGAGGCGGTGGCAAGGTCGGCTACAGAGCGTTCGTGCGCATGCGCACGAACGCTCTGGCACTTTCGGGGGGATTTAAACATCCCCCCGATATTTTTTTTTAGTTTTCAGATTTTTGTGCACCCCTGGGGACTGCCCCAAGAGTGCACAAAACTCTCCCTTCCCCCCCAAGTGCCCCCGAAGTGCAGATATAGATATCCGCACGGAGGGGGCAACTTGGCTATTAGTATAAGGATGAATTCTAAGCATTCTCTGAATGCAATGATCTTGGACGTATATTAAATTTCTGAGGGTGATTTTCTAAACTTAGAACAAGGCCTGTTCACTCACAAAGGAAGCCCCAAACATTCAATGATTTCTTCCTAAAGTGGCATAACACTATTAGTGTTTCACTGAAAGTGCCAGGTTTACAGTGTAATCCTTTTTTAAAAAAATAGTTTTTTTATTAAGAAGAATAAAACAACATAACAGCATATTCAAACATGTCAAAAGAACCAATCTTAACATTACAATATTATCCTAAAGGAGATATAACAGCACAACTGAAACATAACCATCACCGTAAACCTAAATTGCCATCATTTGGCTTGTATATATAAGGATTAAAGTCTACACCTCCCACTTCCTAAATGGTGATCGATCTACCATAAGTCATCCGTATAAATTTGAACAGGGCCTGGATTAAAGTCGTATCCAAGGGACATAAGCAGCCCTAGCTGGGATTATGTTTTTCTCTGACATAAACTGAAGCACTCTGAACCACACAGCCACAAATCTTTCATATGCCTTCGATGTATCTGTTAATGGAGCTTGGGTGACCTGTGTCAACTTATCTAAAACGAACAAGTCCCAAATTTTATCATGCCATGTTTGTATCCGAGGGGGAGCACAGTCTTTCCATCCCGCCGCTATGGTTAAACGTGCTGCATACAGTGTAATCCTGAACAGAGTTACACTATTCCAAAGTCCCCTGAAGTCAACAGTCTTAAAAAGGTTAAGTCTGCTTAGAGTGGTACTACAACTGTCCACATTTTTGTATGTGCCTCTTCTAAGCAGGCATATTGTTGTAACTGAAGCTGTGCTTGTACAAAAGATTTCTAGAATCCCATAATCACTGAGAAACAACTATGCATAATATTACTATTTCTTCATTAACTACCTCAGTAAATTCAGTAAAGGAAATATATACTAACCTTCAGCCATCCATTTAATTTTTAAAAACATATTTACACCATTATTTCTAGTTATAACTTCTTTGCTTACTGGCTCTCCTTTCTGACCTTCCACTCCGACACCTGGATTTCCCTAATAAAAGTGAAAGAAAATAATGTCTGAATCTGTTGTTAAAACAGGTAGCTCCTAGAAACAAGTTTCTGTAAACCCAGTAGATAACCGTAATTGAAGGTAATATTCTAAAACACAAGGATGAATACCAGTTTGATTGATATTGTATAAATATTCATGAAAAACAGCTGCTCACCTGTTTGCCTGGTAAGCCAGGTTGACCAGGAGCCCCCTTTAAGAAAAATAAGGAAGGAGGGGTCAAATTCAGCCTGAGAAAGATACAGAGTTGCAGTCTGTTCTTAAATTGTATGTCCTACTATTTTTTTTTTGCTTGAATTTTTTTTGCTAAATCATAGTTTATATAATTACTGTACATATTACCGTCTCCTTTTGTAGTTATACTGTGTGAGATTGTGACAGATTTTTACGTTCTTTATCCTTCAGCCACGGTCAGGGCTGGAGGGTGAACCTTGTGACATGCCTGTGAGATTGCTAAGAAGTGGGAATTTGTGCAAGTTGGGGTAGATAGTAAAAATAAGGCGTCCGAGACTGGTTGAATTGGCAGATGTTTGTATTATCACAGTTTTTAAAAATAAATTACCAACAGTGTAAAAGAGGACAAGAAGGAATGGGACAATGGCTGGGATGAAGAGTCCTGTTCTTGCATACATTTATGTAACTGGCAATCAATAGCACCAAAGTAGTATCACTTTTTAAAATTTACCAGTTCCTCTGCCAAAAGTCCTAGAAATGCAGAGCTAATTATGATTAATTTCAAACTTGCAAGTGGCTGGTAGCAGGGCCCCACATGGACTTACATGGTTGGCACAGGGACCCAGGAGCAATACTGCTGTCCCAGCGAGAGGTCAACACGCGACACATCTCAGTTGAGGCTGGCCAAATGCTGCCAGTACAAATAATGACACAGCAGGGGGTGGGAAGAGGAAGGCATGGCTGAACCTCAGCAGCTGTGCTGGCCAACAGTTTGCAGGTGGCCCAGCAGATGATAGGCTGGAGTGTTGCCGATCTGGCAACAACCGGGGGGGGAGGAAGCTAAAGAGGTCCAACAGAGTCTGCCAGGGACTCTTCTGTTCTTCCAGGTGGGAGGCCAGGAGTGGTCACTGCAGGGGTTTAACCTCTCAAGGCTTATTTAAAGAATGTAGGCTGAGGAAATGCAGGAGCTGACCCTGCTCTGTGTGCATAACAGCAGAGAAATCAGGTGATGGCAACTCCTCCTCTCTTCTCTTGAGGTCTTGTGGGCTGCAAGCAATGAAGCAGTCACAGTTAGGGCAGCCAAACCCCCACTGGGGGCAGGGAGTCCCCAGATCTTCTTTCCTGCTGTGGCTCAGAGTGGTGGCAGGATAAAATATTTTTAAATTGGCCTTTGGGCCATTTACTAAACCAGCTATGAGAAAATCATGCATATATTCTTAGGAAGAGAAACCAACAGATTGTAGCTTACATCTCATTTTATACAGCAGCTTTCTACACTACTCTTTAATGGTTGCCATTGTTGCTTTGTTTGAAACGACACAATATTTGTCAGACAAAGGGATTAGAGAAATTCCATGCACTCTCTACTTCCTTCATGGAGCAGTGCTATCAGATTTGGTTTCCTTGGAATGGGAGAGAGTTGGAAACTTATGTTGCCTTTCTAACAGCTGCTTTATTTACAAATGTGCAAGTAAAGCACTGGTGGGGGGGGGGAGAGGCAGTCGTCATAGGGCAGCTGATCTGCACTCGATATCAGACCCCAAGAAAGGGAGTCTATATTCACAGATACTTCAGCCAACATCAAACTTCTTCTCTGTTCCAAACTCACACTGTGTTTCTTCACACATATACTCACTCTTTAATCAGCTGTTCACCTCCTCCAAGCTCTCCTGGGTACTTCAGCAAAGCTTTTAGGAGAACATCTTATAACCATTAATGCCCATAGGAGAACCATCCACAGCTATTAAGAAATGCCAGGTGTTAGGAGGAGGGGAATGATTCTTACCAGGGGTCATTTCGGGGGGGACGCGGGGGGATGGTGTCCCCCCGGGTGAGGTGTGGGTGCGCGGGGCACATGATGAAGCCCCGCCCCCTGCTTCCGGCCACCCCGCTTCCGGCCCTCATTCAGCCAGAAGGAGGCAGGAGTGTGGCCTTATGACACACTTCCGGTGATGTCAGGGGGTGTGGCCTTATGACACACTTCCGGTGATGTCAGGGGGTGTGGCCTTATGACACACTTCCGGTGATGTCAGGGTGTGTGGCATATGCTAATGAGTTATGCTAATGAGTATCCCTAGCTCTTTTTCTACGAAATGACCCCTGATTCTTACCATGTATAACCCAAGTGATAGACCTATTCAAAGTATTATGGATAAGTTACAAGGGAGCTAAATAACCAGCTGTACAAGAAGCTGTGCAATCCAATGCTAATTTTATTTAGTTTGGTGGGTAAAAAAACTGGAAATGTGGCTCTCTGTTGAGGAACTTAGAGGCAGGAAGATCACTCCTAGCAAAAAAGGGGAGGATTCAGAAGCTAACACCCTCAGTGGCTTAGGAAATCTTGGCTCATCATGCTGATGGACAAAAATTATCATGTGAACACAAGAGGGGGAAAAACCAGCAAGCTTTATGTTTAATAAAAGATGGAGACCTTCTATTGCTTACTGGAATAAGGTAAAACTAGAGGGAAATGTTAAATTATAAATATTGTCATGTGAATTTACACACAGGGCTAAAGCACAGATATTATGACACCAACACTGTTGTTTTCTTTATGGTATCTATAGATGTTTTGTGTAATTTTTATATATAATAAAAACAAATTTTAAAAATCTATTCAAAATATTTGGATAGTAGTTTCACAACAGAACACCATATTCCCTGGAATTCTGTTGAATTCTCTCTCTCTCTCTCTCTCTCTCTCTCTCTCTCTCTCTCTCTCAATGTGGTTGGGAAGACTACTGATTCTCCCCATTCTCACTATGAACACAAAGAATTCTCTTATAAGATATAGCTTAATAGGTGCATGTCCCTGAGAACAGGTGGGTGAAATAAAAGTTTTAGTATTATACCTGTGATCCTGATTGGCCTGGATATCCAGGTGAGCCTCTTGGTCCCCTTTCTCCTCTAGGACCCTGAAGACAGATTATATGTTTTGCTTCTTAGCACCAGCAATATCCAATTTTCCACCAAAATATAATTTTACTTCATATCTTATGTAGCAGCTTCAACATCTTATCCAACCTAATACCATCCTCTACTATTTGGCCTTGGCCACATTCCTTGTAAGCACTATTTCTATCAGATACCAGCAATAGCCAACTATTTTACTAATGTTGTTGATTGATTTCAGGGTCACATCATACATGAGCTAACTATCCATTAATGCAAATAACAACAAAAAAGGAATAGACTAAGGCTATGAAACTGAATGATGCACTAAATCTATTTGGGGGCATATAGGCCAAAAAAGCTACTGATCTAAAAAACAGGAAATTTCCTTTCCCCCCCTCCCCCTTTCTTCCTTTCTCAGAGGCTCTCAACATTCCATACCTCCTGGGTCATATTTAGTCCTTCAGCGGAGGATATTTTTCTTTTGGTTAATATCAATATTGTTCCACACTCCTGGGAGTAGCTGAGTGAGTATACAGAATTCTATCCTATCAGTGTGTGACCCAGTTTTGATGATTTTATGCGCAGAGGCCAGACACTTCACCATAGTTTTCCAAATACCTTTCCCTTAAATAGGAGCTAAGGTAATGGAGGTGGAACCAAGTCTCTGGGGAGGAAATAAGGAAGAAGCTGAGCTTCAGGTGAAGGAAAGAGAAGCTGCATGAAAGAGGCAAGGGGAGAGAAAGACCTAAGGGCCCAACTAGACATGACAGCCGTTGCCAGGTTCACTTTGGAAACATGCTGCCATTTAAAAGGTGAGTTTCCAGCTGACGACTCCTTTACATTGTGCTGTAGGGGCCCAATTCTGGTCAGAACCACCTTTGCACGGGAGAAGGAGATCCTGCTTCCCCATGCAGTTTTCCCACCCCAAAACTGCATGGAGGGGCAGCAGTGCCAATTTAATGAAGAACATGTTGATAACTAAAGCATGGCTAATTACAATTAAGTATTGGCTTCGCCTTCTTTTCAATTCAGACCCTTCTAGTTACACCTATCAGCTTCTACTGGAACCGAATGACTCTAACTGGATTACCTATATAGAATTCAAAATTAAATCCCTGGATATCACCTTAGATTCCTTACTCCTTACTTCCGAATCTGAGGCTTTTTCAATTATAAGAGCCAATCTACTTTGTTCTGAGCTACATTCACTGTATAATGCTGCTAATAAAACCTGTTCATCCCTGTATTTTGGAATATCTCCTAAAGTCGGCCAACCTGCCTCTTACCAGTACCAACTTCACACCCACAGAGCCCTCTCTTTGGCGAGATTCAATGTATTACCTTCGGCCTTATTATCTGGTCGCTTTCAGGGTGTGCCCTTTTCTGACGTTGTCCATGCACAAATGATAATATCGACATGATTTCCCATGTCTTGTTGCAGTGCCCCTTCTACCATGCACCACGACTAAAATGTCTAAATTTTATTTTGGCTCAATTAGAAGAATATCCTGATTGCAGAGGTCATTTCGGGGGGGTCGCGGGGGATCGTAGTTCCCCCGGGTGAGGTACGGGGGGTGGGGCACATGATGAAGCCCCGCCCCCCGCTTCCGGCCGCCCCGCTTCCGGCACTCATTCAGCCAGGAGGAGGCAGGAGAAGAGGGAGGGTAAGTTGCTTCCTCCCTGCCTCTCCCCACCCCTGCCTGCCTGGGGCCAGGGAGGGCCTTCGTGGGGCTTCCTTGCACTCCCCATGAGGGGCCCGGCGGTGGACCTACAAGGCCGCCGGCGGTGGACGGGACCATTGGGGGTGGGGTGTGTGGCCTTATAACACACTTCCGGTGATGTCAGGGTGTGTGGCCTTATGACACACTTCCGGTGATGTCAGGGGGTGTGGCATATGCTAATGAGTTATGCTAATGAGTTCCCCTAGCTCTTTTTCTATGAAACCCTTGTTTCTGTATTTTGCAAGTATTATTCTATGCTGTGGTTGTTGTTGTTGGTGGGGTTTTTTGTATATGAGCTTACAAGGGTTACATGCCAATAAAGGTAACTGGACTGGGGGAAAATGATGATGTGGTGGTCCCAATCAGCAATGGGCCTCCACGGAGCAGTTTAAAAGAGTTCCCAGCAGGAAACTCACTTTTTAAAAAGGAGGCACGTCCTTGCAGTAAACCTGGCAATGCCTGTCATGTCTAGATGGGCCTTTATCATGCTGAAATGGGGGAAGAACTGACCCAGGTTGATGCAGTGATAACAAAGGCAATGATGAGAGTGAGAAGGAATCAAGGCAATGGAGAACTTCGACCCACCCTGTTCCAATTAGCCCAAGTTTGTCTTATGTTTACCTAGGACTTCTGTTATCTATTCATTCCACAGAACTACACTTCAAAACTGGAAGCCACTGTTATTAGTTGATTCAGATCAGCTGTCTACACTATTATCACTGAGATCTGATTCATATGCTCAGTGTTCCCACTTCCCATGTCCAACTACAAAAATATGGAGGGCTGCTGGCACAATGGTAACACATCAGGAATTGTATATGCACTAGTGCCATATGACTTGGCTTACACAGGTAACTGCTGTAATTCGCATGGTTGGTGTTGCTACAAAAATCAGTTACAGTGACCAGGAAAACTGAGGTGGCTCCCACACATCTGTCATTCCACAAACTATGTAACATAGAATTGTTCAGGAGGGCTTTTTTATAAAAGTAATAGGGCTACAATATAACAGAATGGTCCAAAAAGGCACTTCATAAAGGGGAAATGACTATGTTACTATGTTGTCACTGCATTGTCTACTGATATAGTATCATTTTCTGCATTGTATTTATACTTTGTATGATGTCTAATATGCTAAATTTATTCAGTTTTTTGTAATCCTAGATTTTTATTAGGTGCTTCATCATATTGATAGTATTGATTTCCATTGTGTAATCTGCTTTGAGTTCCACTGACGATGGCAAACTATAATTATAGTAAGCAAACAAATAAACAAATGTACACATAGGGTTGCCAAGTCCATCTTCCACCCCCAGCGGGGGACTTTGGGGGCGTTCCTGGAAGGGGTGGGGCATCCCCAATGTGATGACATCATGTTGGGGACATCTGCCGCCCCCACCCCCGGCCGTGCGCTGGATCTCCAGAAACAGCAGTTCCCTGCACTTAAAGTAGCCGGCAGTCGGCGTTTCCCCTTTAAGAGAAGCTGCGTTTCCCTTTTAAGAATGAAGCTGGCTTTTCCCTGAAAGCTTGCGGAGTTCGCGCTTGGGATGAAACACGGGTTGCACACCCTTAAAGGGAGAGAGATGGGTGGCTGTGGGTGTTGGGGGTGGGGCAGGTAAAACCCCCCAAAACGGGGGACCCCTGGCAAACCGGGGGGGTTGGCAACTCTATGTACACAATACTAATGTGGAAGTATTGGTTCATACAGTCAGTGCCTCCATGTGATTCCCACAGGGCTACAAACCCAGAAAACCTCTGCAGATCTCACAGATAATCATGTAGGGGCTACTGAGTATCTGAACCATATCAGAGAACTTTCCCACAATATACTTCAGGGCTAAACCTAAATATCTGCTGAATATCAGAGCCAAAGTACAGAGTTTTCAAAAGATCCATGATCTGACTTTCCTCAAAGCTTCAAAATAGCAGTTGTTGGGGTAGAGCAAATCAGGTTGTGATGATGGGAACAAGGTGGAGTTTAATCCTTTCCTCTTATGCTGTTTCCACACACCCCAAGATGCTGTTTTATCACACACCCCAAGATGCTATTAGCTGCAACTGGACTGCACCCTATCTTTTTTCCACCATGGCTAACAGCAGCTTCAAGTATGTCATTTCAATGGAAGAAACAGAGCAGGTGGTAAGTTAATCCTCCTCCCCAGTATTACCACCACAATCACCTCCCCCATGACTGTTCTGAAGTATTTTAAAAGGTACTAGATTCTGATTCCAGATCTCCCACCTTACATGAGGTTGTCCCTTACTAATGAGGATTTTTATCTTCTCTTCAGACCCACTGATTCATGGATGACTTGCATATCACAATGTGGAATTTGTTTAAAATAATCTTCATGCAGTAACTACATAGAGATCTGATCATCAGATGAATTGTTCAGTCATGAGTCTCCAAAACAGTACTGGACACTGCTGGTGGTGTTTGATCATGGCATGAATATGCACCATGGGTACGGATATGGTGGTGAACTTCTATATTTGAATGTCACTAAATAGATCTGCTACTGACCTTCAAACCAGAAGGAAAGGATTATGGGATACCTACAATCCATGCCAGCCTAACTGTGATGATTCAGAATGTATTTTCAAAATCCAATCCCCCCAAAAAAAACCCCAAACTGATAAAGAGCTTACAGGTATTCCATGTGGTCCTGGATCCCCTCTTTCTCCCTGTAACCATAACCAGTCATGATTAGATAAAAGACCACATAAATTCTTATAATAGCTTACTATCACAATGGTATGAGTAACATTCTTCCTTGTAAAACAGAATCTTGTTTCAGTTACTTAACAGAAAATGTTGAACTCTATAGTCATATTTCATCCAGGGAATATAATAGAAGTAAACCATACAAAGAGTTCTCATAGCTGTACCGAAACAGTAGTACTCACTCTGGGTCATGGAGTACCATATTTGCAATCACCATCAACCAAAAGAGCCACACCTAGCATGAGGCCTCAGGAAGACTAAAGGCTTTTCTGCTCCTCTGGCTGCAGCTGTTTCAAGGTAAAAACCAACAGCCAAGTATAGCTCCCACGAGGCAAGGACCTTGCCCACTTTGTTGAAATACAGGGTGGGGAATGCTAATGAAGAACACCACAGGTGGCATGCCGAAGAGCCAAATGAGGCTCCCATTCCACTGAGTGCTTATCTGTGTACTAACACACTTTAGTAACTTCTTTATTCCATACTATTGTTATTGTCAGTTTTCAAGGACTCAGGATAATCAACAGCTTTTAAAAAGCAAACTTGATTTAAAATACAGTTTGACTACTTAATCCTATGTATGTTCACTCAGGGTACTCTCTAATGAATTTTGTGGGATTTACCCCTCATCTGAGTGAGTTAAAGTAATATCAATTAAAATATGTTGGGGGGGAAATACTATGTTATCATCCCTGGCCACCCAATTGTCAAAAGATCCTCAAGGCCACAACTGGAGTCAGTATTTAATTGCTCATATCTACATTTAAACAAAAACACAATAAACTATGGATTGGTTCTAGCAACTCATTAGAGGAAGGTGCTGATGGCTGCATATCTTCCCTGATTTCACTTCCCCACCAGCAGTCCCTTCTCATGCCAGGAAAGTTGTTTCTTGTTAGTAATAGCTAGATGGGTCAATGGTCTACAGTGAGTATGGACAAGTAGCATCCCATCCCCCCTCTTCCATCAGCACAGCTCCACTAAGGTGAGGAAGAGGAGTAAGGAGTAAAGGTGACCTTCTAATTGTAGCTCAGCAAGCCATATGGCTGTTACTCCATGAGGCTCCTATAGCCCCAAGAATCAACTGTCCTGGGGTTGGAAAGGACAGCAGAAAAGAGGAGGGAAAGATTCACAGTCCTTGTGTGAGCAGACTGCTGCATCCAATCTGGCATCAGAAGTTATTTGCTGCAATGGTGCAATCCTAAATACACCTATGAGGAACTAATTCCATTGAAGAATTTCAGAGTAACTTTACAGGACTGGGCTCAAAATGTCTGCAACATGCAATTGAAGTTACAGTCCACAAAACAAGCTGAACTTGGGTTACTTACAAATATAATACTCCTTTTATTGTACACGATACTTTTAAATGGTATAAATATTAGTGTCATAAATTCAGTGTCTAGAGAAACATTTGATAGGCCTGCAACAAAGGGTTGCCAGCTTTGGGTTGGGAAATACCTGGAGATTTTAGGTGTGGAGCCTGAGGAGGGCGGGGTTTGAGGACGGAAGGGACATCAGATGGGTATACTGCCATAGAGTCCACCTTCCAACGTGGCCATTTTCTCCAGGTGAACTAATCTCTGTTGCCTGGAGACAGCTGTAATCCCAGGAGATCTCCAACTACCACCTGGAAGGTAGTAGGCCTAATGCCACATAGGTTTTAATCATTTTTTAAATCATTAAAACAATAAGAAATTATTTGAATAAAAACATGTTCATTAGACTTACAGAAGCACCTTTAATGAACTTGGAAACACTTATGGGATATCCTTTTTCTCCTTTTTGCCCAGGAATACCCTGAAAAGACATTTTAAGACTAATCAATGAATACTTGTTAGAATAATTTTACGTTTTGCTTATAGGATCTGAAGTAGTGATACACATGCAATAGTTGACGTTGATTTTTAACTCATGTAATGAGTTAGGTACAATGGTTTCCTTCCATCACATCTGGTATCTTCCACTAGAGGAAGACTCCTTTCCACTGGAGGAAGACTCCTTTCCACTGGAGGAAGACATCTTCCTCAAATGCAAGAGCCCTCACTGAAAAGAAACTATTGGATCCAACCCAACACGCTTTCACTTAAACTCAAAGTGAGTTTTAAAAAACAATATTATTTTTAAAAAAGACCAACAAAGACAAAAACAAACATATGTACATAAATACATACATATAGGTTGGGGGTTCCATTTACCACATTATTTTATCTGTTAAGTTACCTCATACATTGTCTAATTATATATTTTGCTTCTTTATATTTTCCCACCATGTGAATTTGAATAAAACTTTGCTCATAACTAAAGATATAGTTCATATTTTCTTCTGATTTGGTTGTATGTCCATATGGTTTATTTATTGTATTCTTCCATCCATTCATAAAACCTTAACCATGTGCTCTCAAATTTTTGTTCATTTTGTCCACTCAAAATTAAAGTTAATTTGTCCATCTCTGCAGTTTCAAGTATTTTATTTAAGATTTCTTCTTTTGAAGGTACTTCATTCTTCCTCCAATATTTGGCATATAATATTCTTGCAGCTGTCACTACATGTATAATAAGATAAGAATCTTGTTTTTTACAATTTTCTGGTAATATATTCAATAAAAACAATTCTGGTATATAAGGTATAGTATATATTAACATTTTTGTAACAATTCATGAATCCAGGACCAATATTTTTTAACTGTATTGCATGTCCACCACATATGAAAAAACCAACTTTTTTTGACACTTCCCGCAATAATTTGGTAGGTCAGAATAAAATTTTGCTAATTTATCTGGAGTAATATACCATCTATAAAACATTTTATAAATATTTTCTTTATAAGTACTTGCTTTAGTATATTTTATATTTTTCCATACCTGTGCCCATTGGTCTAAATCAATATTATGACCCAGGTTTTGTGCCCATTGGACAATAGAATCTTTAACTATTTCATCTTGTGTTTTATTTTCCAACATTATTACACATAATTTCTTAATCAATTTTTCATCAGTATATAACAGTATCAATTTCTGTTATTTTTGAATAAAAGCCTATTTTGCTTTGAGTTTAAGTTTAATTGCCAATAGCAAGCTTTGGCTTCTAGAATTCATGCTCAGTCAAAATGTGAGACAAACTTAGAAATAAACTAAGAAAAGGTAGTAGCAGCCCTTCCTTGCCACACTTGTTTCTTCAGCATCATTTAAGGCATATGAAGAAATTCCAGTGCTTCAAAGTCAAGCTTACTGCATGGTGCATATTAAAATGAGAAAGGGCTGCATTCAGACATCATGCTAAGCTGTAAGTAAACTCCAGTTTGCCACATGGCCCCCTGCATCACTTCTTCTTCCTCTCTTCCTCTCCCTTGCTGTGTACAGTACAACTGAAACTGACAACAAATTCTAATTGCCTATGATGTCAAAATGCAAGTGCTTCAGCAATTGGGGATTTGCCCTACAAAACCTGGGCTTCTAAACTACCTCTTTTCTACCTAGACTATCTGTCATGATCTGGGCTGTGCCACCAGAGGCCTACTAGGCCCAGGGAGCCTGGCTAGCAGTAGGGGAGGCTGGGCCTACAAACCCCAGAAGGCCTTGGGAAGTTTTGGTGCCAATTTTGACCAATAGGGAAGAAGAGGGCTGGGGAATATAAGAACTGGTACAAGAGGTAAAGCTGTTCTTCTTCCAAGAGGGCAGAGCCAGAAGAAAGGCTGCTGCAGGGAAGAAACCCTCATCTTGAGAGAAAGGGTGAACAGGCTGAGGCCCACTTGAGATAGGTGAGCTAGGGACAGTATATATTTAGATGTGTTATGGCATTTGATTTCTTGTCTTTTCACCCATTTACTGTTATTATTCTGTACCTTGTTGTTTGACCTCCTATAAAATAAACTATTTTCATTGTTCACTCTGCCTGGTCCTCATACCTATTATTCAGCCAAAAGGGAGGTCTGAAGGTCTTGGGAGGGTGCTCTGGGCCTTCTCAAGGGATCCTAAATCCAGAGTGGTGGCAGTGTCAGGTGACACCCCACCTGAGCCACGACATTATCTTTTTCATATATTTCAATATAGGGATATGATTGTCATGCACATATTGTCTTCACAATGCTTTTGACAAAGTAATAAAAGTCAACTCACAAATGAGCCTATTGGTCCAACACGACCAGCCTCTCCAGGAAATCCTGGTTCCCCCTTTGAACCATTACATCCATCAAAGCCAAGTTTGCCCCTGGGTCCTTCAGGTCCTGGTAAGCCCTACGAAATTTCAATAACAGAAATTGAAAGTAAAACTGAAAAGAACTGTTTGCTGTCCAAACATGAACTCCAGAGTTTGGAAGTAAACTGCTTATGTGGGTTTAGACAACATTTGCTAAGCTAACTAAAACCACTTCTCACTGATATCATTGAGGTTGGGATCATGAAGACTTAGCAACCCTTCCCCCTCATGCTCCATCACTAAACATATTCTGGCTATGGGACTATAATACACTCTCTTCTATTGCTTGTGCCATTGTAACTGATACTTAGACAGGACTTTCTGTAGGTAGGATGCAGTTTTGATCTTATTCTGAAATGTAAAATGAGTTTGAGAAAAATAAACGCAGAATTAGCCGCGCATTAAGGACGAATACTGGGCAGATTTTAAGGGTGCGATCACAGAAAAACATCTGGCAAGTGTCCCACACCTGTCGGCAACCCGTATCGCCTCGCTGAAGATGCGGAGTAAAAAGATAAAGGGGAAAGTGCACTATTTTCCAGAAAACGCACGGCACAGGTGGGCATCTGACTGTGGAAGTGCTGGTATTCCGTCATATCCGGTGCCCGTCTGTGTCCCACTGGATGGGGGGGTTTTACGCCTCTGTGGTATGCGTGCAAATGCAGAACTGCAGATGCACACAAGTGCTATTGCTGAACCGCCTCGCCCTTCTTTGCCACGCTTCACCATCAACGTGTGATTGGCGGCTGACGGCCTGAGCACAGAGTCTGATCGCGATACCGCACTTCATTTTGCTCCAGAGCAAAAAGCCTCACTTCCCTCCCGGATTATCGTGTGACCAGGGCCTATGGGAGTTAAAAAGTCATATTCTCTAGGGCATTAACACTACCCTACAGTCATACAATGCACAAACACTGGTAGTGTACTTACAGGCATGCCATCTAAACCTGCAAATCCTGGAACTCCGGTAGGACCCTGAAGAAATTAAATATTTAAGAAATTATGCACTTGAAATGATGTACTTTATCAACACAGATCTATTAAAAGTTAAAAGTGATCTAAAATGTCTCTTCAATGATGGATGAGTGACAAAGAATCCTAGGGCAGACAAAAGGCTACAAAAAAATATTGCCGTGCGTGCTAGCGTGGGTTCCACAACCTACTTCATCAGATGCATAAAACAACAGTAGTTTTATATTGGCCCACATATGCATGAAAAAGCTGTTAGAATATTTATTTCTACAGCATCATCACTATGCATGGTGTTTTACAGAGTACAAGAAAGAAACTCTGAGCAGTTTACATTTTAAAAACTGACAAGAAAAGGCGGCGGGGAGATGGCGGCAAGGAAAGAACAAGTGTTCACTTCATTTATATGTCCTTAGGCTTAGTTTCGTGGTTGAGCCAAAAGCCGCAAAAAAGGCACCCTGGTATTTTCTATTAGACAACATTTTGTTGGACTAAGAGTAATGTCATAAGTGCCTGCCTGCGGAGAGAGACTATTGCCATCAAGGGCAGAACTGCTACCACCTACTCTGCCCCCTCCCTTCCCTGTACATTGATGGCAGATTTGTCATTAGCATTGGTTTAAATATTTTGGTTTTCTATTGTATTGGGGGGAGCTGTACTTTTGTACACCTGAGTGTACACCTGAGTGGAGCAAAGTGGGTTAAAAGTACCCTAAGCAAACAAACAAACAAACAAACAAATAGCCTGGATCCTACAGTTCATTCCCGGTAAATCAAGAACCAAGCTTTGGTGAGAAAACTGATAGAATTTGCTACCTTCAGAGAAAAGCTTAATCACTTAGCAGAATGAAGTCATAGAATCCAGCCCATAAAGTTTTGAGTGATACCGTTGTTCTTCACCAAGAAAAACAAAATCGGAATGTCCAGCCTAAAGATAAAGCTTATTCTTAACAAGAGATTCTGGCCCTATGAAAAAATTTCATCTTCTGACTCTACTCTAGAATGAATGCAGCTGAAACTCTCTAGAACAAGCTACAGTTTCATCACTCCTATTTTAGCTCCATTACTCACTTGCATACCCAGCTCCCTGAAGGGTACTGTATGCAATTTATGTGACATTTTATTTATAAGTTTTTTTGAGATGTTTGTATCATGAGTTTCTTTTCAAGAACTGAAAATATGTGTTTCCTTACTTTTGGTGTGATATTTGATACAACCAGGGCTATTTTTGGGCAGGAACGCACAGGAACGGAGTTCCGGCTGGCTTCCAAGTTGGCCACGCCCAGCAGGAACTCATTAGCATAATAGGCCACACCCAACACCAGAAACTCATTAGGATTGGCTACATTAGGGGTGTGTGGCCTAACATGCAAAGGAGTTCCTGCTACAAAAAAGCCCTGGGTTTTGACAACAAACAAGGTAAACAGAACAAGAAGCAAAAGGTGGGTGTGGCTGGATGAGCACACTTCTGGTAACATGGGGGTGTGGCCTAATATGCCAATGAGCTGTGCTGTCAGGGGTGTGGCCTAATAGGCTAATGAGATTCTGCTGTTGGGTGTGGCCTAATATGCTAATGAGTTCCTGCTGGGCTTTTCCTACAAAAAAAGCCCTGGATACAACACATCCTAATTTTACAGCACTGTATTAATAACAAAGCATTGGTGTTTCAATGCATGCAGTATAACAGAAAAATAGTGCTCCAGGCTTTGCCTGGCCTTGTGCTACGCAACTATTATTATTACCAACCTTATCTCCTCTTTCTCCAGCTGGCCCAGGAAGACCCATCTCACCTCTCTGACCTTTTTCTCCTGGCAAGCCAATGGGTCCTACAGAACCCAAAGCACCAATTGGACCCTGATCCCCCAGCTGTCCAGGCTGACCCTGGAAAACAAAGGATACAGATTTAGCCCATTGTACAAGCAAAGCAAATTCTCTCACAAAAGCAATGGAAGAAAATGTATGATGTCTGTATTTATTAGCAGGGATGGGCACCAACCGGTTCATAAGCTAAAATTCAGCACGAACTTGGCCCGGTTCGGAGTTCCCAAACCAGTGTTCCAGGAAGGTGCCTTCCCCGAACATTTAGTGGACTTTTGTCTGGTTCGGCTGTCGGGTCCATTTCAACCTAACAGCTGAGCAATGCGAGTCTGTAGCTGACCTGTTAGGTTGAAATGGCTAGCAGCCATTTCAACCTAACAGCTGATGGGCGTACACTTTTTTGAAGGATTGTAATGGTAGAACACTTAAAATGGTTTAGCCATACAGCATTCCCATACAATTCCAAAGACATCTGTAATATTTCAAGTTAAAAGACAAAGATAGCTTATATTTGATCATTCTCTCTGTTTTCTGATGGGTGAAACCAGTAAACTTTTTGCCACACTATCAATAAAATTACTATGGACAAGGTATAATTGCTTCAGGAAAAGCCACGTATAGTTTGCAGGCTATGCATTGGTCATCCCTGATTTAGATTGTCACCAAATGTGGGAGAAGTTACAAAAAGAGTAATAAAATTAATTGTTCATGGTAGGCTTGACAGTCAGTGTTCCATTCAATACGGCTTTCAGTATTTTAATTTTAATTTTAATGACCAATTATGAGCGGAAGGTTTGTTAAAACCAGGTTGATACCATCCATAAAAACATAAGAGATGCCAATGTTGGATCGGGCCAAAGGCCCATCCAGTCCAACACTCTGTATCACACAGTGGCCAGAAATACCAGTGCCATCAGGAGGTGACCTCTGCTCCATATGCTTATCTAATTCCCTTTTGAAGCCGTCCATGCTTGTAGCACCCACCACTTCCTGTGGCAGTGAATTCCATGTGTTAATCACTCTTTGGGTGAAGAAGTACTTCCTTTTATCCGTTCTAACCCGACCGCTCTGCAGTTTCATGGAGTGCCCACGAGTTCTTGTATTGTGAGAAAGGGAGAAAAGTACCTCTTTCTTTACCTGCTCTTTCCCATGCATAATCTTATAAACCTCGATCATGTCACCCCTCAGTCGTCTTTTCTCCAAGCTAAAGAGCCCTAAGCGCTTTAACCTTTCCTCATAGGGAAAGTGTTCCAACCCTTTTATCATTCGAGTTGCCCTTTTCTGCACTTTTTCCAAAGCTATAATATCCTTTTTAAGGTGTGGTGACCAGAACTGCACACAGTATTCCAAATGAGGTCTCACCATTGATTTATATAGGGGCATTATTATATTGGCTGATCTGTTTTCAATACCCTTCCTAATAATCCCCAGCATAGCATTGGCCTTCTTTATTGCAGTCACACACTGTCTCGACATTTTCAGTGAGTTATCTACTACAACTCCAAGATCTCTCTCTTGCTCAGTCTCTGCCAGTTCAGACCCCATCAATGTGTTTTTATATTTAGGATTTTTGGCTCCAATGTGCATCACCTTGCACTTGGCCACATTGAACCCCATTTGCCATGTTGATGCCCACTCGCCCATCCTTGACAGATCCCTTTGGAGTGCCTCACAATCCTCACTGGTTTTCACCACCCTGAACAACTTTGTATCATCCGCAAATTTAGCCACTTCACTGCTTACTCCCATCTCCAAATCATTAATGAACAAGTTAAAAAGCAGTGGACGAAGTACTGATCCCTGCGGTACCAGACTGCTTACCACCCTCCACTGAGAAAATTGCCCATTTATACACACTCTCTGTTTTCTATTCATTAGCCAGTTTTTGATCCATAAAAAGACTTGTCCTTTTATCCCACGATTTTTAAGCTTACTTAGGAGCCTTTGAGGAGGAACTTTATCAAAGGTTTCTGGAAGTCAAGGAAAACAATATCTATTGGATCCCCCTTGTCCACATGTTTGTTCACCCCCTCAAAGAACATTAACAGGTTAGTGAGACAAGATCTTCCCTTACAGAACCCATGCTGAGTCTGACTCAATAGGTTTTGTTGATCTATGTGCCTACTAATTCTTTCCTTAATAATGGTTTCCACCAATTTACCCGGTATCGACGTCAGACTGACTGGCTTGTAATTTCCCGGATCTCCTCTGGAACCCTTTTTAAAGATGGGAGTGACATTAGCTACCTTCCAGTCCTCAGGAATGGAGGCAGATTTTAAGGAAAGATTACATATTTTTGTCAGAAGATCCACAAGTTCACATTTGAGTTCTTTCAGAACTCTCGGATGTATGCCATCTGGGCCTGGTGATTTATCAGTTTTTAAGTTGTCTATCAGTTTTAGGACCTCCTCTCTTGTCACCTCAATCTGACTCAGGTCTTTCAACACCCCTCCCGAAAACAGCGGTTCTGGAGTGGGCAAGCACTTCTCATCTTCCAGAGTGAAGACAGAGGCAAAAAATGCATTTAGCTTCTCAGCCATTTCCCTATCATCCTTCAGTACACAGTACACAGAGAAACAGAGGATTTATCCTCTGGTTTAACATCTGAGCTGAACAGGACTGCTATCAATTCGAGCCCACACTGGTGTGAGCTACCAGTCTCTGTCCCCAGCTCGCCGTCTACCCAGCGGTTCGAAAGCTTTGGCAAGTAGATAAAATGGGTACCACTCCTTAGAGAGAGTGGGCACACTGAACCCCCCCCTCGTGGGTTGGAGCAGTGTTAGCTGGCGAATGGAAGTCCAGCTCAAAAGATTGGAAAACCTACAGAGGTCTCCTTTGGCGTGAAGACAGCCTGTAAGGGGCTGTTCTGGCCAGGCAGTGGCAGTGCGGCGCTACAACTCGAAGGAGTCTGGAGAAAGCTGACGCCATCAAACCCGGCCGGGAAAATGCCGTTCCGGATCACGTCTCATCTCCATCTGAACGAACCCTCGTCGGCTGCGAATGTGTGTGATTTACGATATATATATGTTGTCCTCCCTTACCCCATAATCATTGTTAGTCCCTCGTGAAAAATGAGTAACTGTAAATCGCTCAGAGCCAGCAAGCTCTGCAATATTGAGCGATCAATAAATTGAAGGATTATTATTATTATTATTACCCCTTGGTCATCCAAGGGCCCCACTGCCTCCCTGGCTGGTTTCCTGCTTCTAATGTATTTGAAGAAAGTTCTATTGTTGGTTTTTACATTTTTTGCTATATGCGCCTCATATTCCCTTTTTGCCTGCCTGACCACAGACTTGCATTTTATTTGCCATAGCCTGTGTTCCATTTTATCAGTCTCACTGTGACTAGCTTTCCACTGCTTAAAGGAATCCTTTTTACCTTTTACAGCTTCCATTACTTTGTTTGTTAACCATGCAGGCTTTTTCCTATACCTGTTTGTGCCTTTCCTAACCTGCGGAATATATATTTTTTGAGCTTCTAGGATCGTAGTTTTAAATAGTTTCCAAGCTTCCCCAATGGTTTTGACCCTTTCTACTTTTCCTTTCAGTTTCCTCCCCACGTGTCCCCTCATATCAGAGAAATTACCCCTTTTAAAGTTAAAAATGGTTGTGTGAGTCTTTTTGGCCAATTCTCTATTTGTACAAATGATGAACTCAACAACATTATGATCACTGTTTCCAAGCGGTGCAATCACTTTTACATCTCTCACCAGGTCTTAGGGTTGCCAAATCAAAACTCCCTACCGGCGGGGGATCGTCTTGCCGGTCCGGGAGCCGCTCTGGGATGCGCGCGCGCCAGGACGTCACCGGAAGTGACGTCACACGCTGGGCGGAGCCACGCCATTTGAGGGGAAAACTCTTTGTTTTCCCCTCAAATGGCGTGGCCCCGCCCCCAGCGTGCGACGTCACTTCCGGGTGACGCGCACGCTGGGGCGGAGTTCCCCCCGGGCCCGGATTCCCCCACATCGGGTGACGGGCCTCCGGGGCGGGGGGAATTCCGCCCTACCGGGGTGGTTGGCAGCCCTAATCTTTGCCCATCTAATATAACGGCTGTAGTATTAGGACTGCTGTTAAAATCAGTGAAGAAAGTCATGCTCAACATGGAAATGACAAATTAGTTCAGTTAAAACAGACAGAATGTCAAGCCTGGCATCTGCTATCTGATGCTCATCAATTCCACTGGCTTGCCTAATTGTCTAGGTCAGAAACTTTCAATCCCTAGACTAGCTAGTATTGTTTTAGCACATCCTGAATCTGACCAGCTGTAGGAGATTGACTCTGTATCAAACAAAACAGCTTATTTTGAAAATGAGAGCAATGGTTCTTATTAACTCAAATATTATTCCTTACTTTCTGGGGTTTTTTTTTAAAAAAACCCTAACATAATGATAAATGTAAATGATGCTGTTTCTCCATAATGAAGTTTTCTTAGTCATTTTAATTTGAGCTGGAGCTCTGTAATAAATTGTACTGGAAATATTTTTAATGAAACAACAGTTTTCAAATGAAATTGAGGTTTCTTGACAAATGATCAGCAATAAATACTGATTAAATAAATGTCTCTAACCCAGCAAAACCAATTATTGTAAGCCCATCTCTTCTTATCTTAAATCATCCTATATGTTGGTCTTGAGAGCACTGGTAAGGATGCATTTGGGACAGTGCTATTCTGGGGCTTAGGTTTCTGGACCTGGATATGAAACTATTGCATGTAGCTGTACGTCTATTAGTATACCTGCTCAAGATGATCACAAATAAGCCCACAATGTGCCCAAATTTTGAAATTTTTGGAATTTAGCTACTCATTGGCTATTATTGGCAAGAGTATCTTGATGATTACATAAGACTTAACAAAAGCATGTCTGCACTGGAAGCTGCGCATCTCCCTTACATCAGCTAGAAATGCATATTATCGCTTTTTAAGAAGGGGACTGCTTCCTGAACAGCCAGTTCTTCAATCAGCTGCTGAAGCAAGGATGTTGCTCCTATGACAATTTGCCTGCCAATATAAAATACAGCTGAGCTTAATTTTCATAAGTCCAGAATTTTATATTGAAGAAC